TCAGGGCTGTACTCAGTCAGGTCTTTAATATCTCCAAAGATGAGACTCCACAACCCCTCTGAGCAACACACGCCAGTGACTGGACCACCCTGATGGTAACAAACCCCAGCACTAAGCACAGAACAGGCCTTGGAGCAGTCAATAGTTGTTATTCATGATGTGGCAGCCACAGCTGGGGCCTGTTACTGGTGCCAAGGGGGGACCACTCACCTGAGGCAGGGACAGCAAATGCAGCGGGAAACAGGTGGCCAAGAACATGCTGAAGGTCCAACGTTTTACACCATCGTGTTATTTGGACCTGTGGGAGCCATCCCTTAACCTCTCACTCCCAGGTTTCACACTAGCTAAGCTCTCTTGCTGCTTTTTGAAATGCACACACACAAATCAGACCCAGCTGTTTGAAAATGCTGCTTATCTTCTATGCCTCTCTCTATGAAAGTTCTAAAAATTGGTGTTATGAACATCAGTGATGTTAAAGAAATTCCTTTTTCAGACTTAGAAATTGCTTTCTTGCCTGCCAACAAGTGTCTGGTGAGATGAATTATTGGAACTCAGTCTGCTGGAAAGAAGAGACACCTTTGCTGATAGGGACAAGCCAGATTGCTTCATAAAAAAAGGATCCACCTTGTCAGAATTCTGTGAAGAAAATTGCCTCTTCTTATAGTGACAACTTTTACTACAAAGATTTCCTTTTTTATCTGCAGTTCTTTTTCTACGCTCTATAAACCAGCACCTTGTTCAGTATGCCTGCCCTGGAGTGCTACTACGCAACTCGTGGAAGGAAATGTTCACATGTTTAAAAAACTAAAAAACTAAATAAAAAAACTCATTGCATTTCTGCTACACAAAACCTGTAGCTTATACAGGGCCCTAAACCAGCTCCCAGGAAGATCTTCACTCTTTGTTCACTTTGCTCTTTTTGTTTAACAAGCACATGGAGGATGTGTGCAGAATCTCTTCCATTCCCTTGACGCCAGCACACAGGACACCTTATCTCTGTGTTTCTTATATCTGGCTGGAGGAGAGATTCAACTCATCTCCAGACAGACTCCCCCTGTGCAGGCCCTCAGTGCTCACAGGCATTCCAGCTTTCCCTGGGAAAGCCCTCTTAGCCTCTCCTTCTCACAGGCACTGTCTCAGCTCTGGCTAACAGCCACAGTGCCAGGCTGGAGTGCAAACTGGTGGTGATGGAGTGAGGGTTTCTGGGGATTGTAGCTCAACCCACTCATGTATTTCACATGCTTTGCTCTTTCTCATTCCTTTTCTCTTTGAACATGGCACGGAGCAGTATTCAGCAGCACTGGGCAGTATTCAGAGGCTGTCACCACCTGGGAGCAGAGGTTCCAGACACAGCTCCCTGTGCCACAGCTGCTCTGTTTCCAGGCACCAGCAGAATCCCAGAGACAGGAAACATTGGCTCGGCCTCTGAAGCAAAGCAGCAATTTCCAAGTGGACCACGGCTCTGTTCCTACACATCTCCAGGACCTGCGCAGAGGGCAGTGTCCACCACTGAGCTGGGGCTGTGACCCTGCCTGTCCCTCAGCCACAGCAAGTCCCAGCAGGAGGCTGTACTCAGCAAACAGCTCAGTGCCTGCCCTGACACAGGACACAACAGCACTGCTGATACAGTTAGAGTTGTATGGATCCAGAATGTGATTTGCACTGAGAACATTGCCTGGATATGCAGGTTTTACTTGTCTCCATCCAGTATCATGCATCTGTTTTTATGACTATTCTCTTAGTTTGAACATAGCCATAAAACATTTAAGAAGATCATGTCTACCAAGACAGCAAAGTGGCCCTAAGAGTTCTTCAGCTTACCTGGTGTGCCATTTGTGATGATTACACACTGCAAGGGCCAAGATGCAGGCAGAGTCCAGGCTGGGTTGGCACATACGCATACCTATGGCACACATGCCCATGTGCTGCAGGCACACATGCTCAGACAAGTCTATAAAGACAGAGGAGCTGGAATAACTGAAAGCCACACTCTGCCCACTTGAGGTTGGCAGGTTTTCTAGTCAGGTGATCAAAGCAGGCTCCAGCATGACTTTCCAAACTGCTCCAGCAAAACACCCTGCCCAAAATATAACTTGTATATTGCCATGTAAGGATAGGATGGTATGTGAAAAGTGCTAGTGTCCTAGCATCAGCCAGCCCTAGCAGGGTTTTCCTGAAAGGACCAGAGGATAGATGACTCTCATGTTGAGGCTTCTGAATTTTCTATTCAGCAGGGTTTTTGTGCAATACGAAACCTCAGCAAAGCATCTTAAAGCATCTTGCCCTCTTGGGCATGCTAGAAGTGTTTGATCAAGCATGAAAACTCAACTTAAGCAATGTGTCTCAGTGAAGGAACATCAGGGTAAACCATTTGAAAAAAATATCTTTAAGCCAACCCACCTCTCTTTATGCTCTCTTTATGTCCACACCTGCTCCTGGGACAATGCATCCTTCTCCAGCAATGTCATTGTCCCTCAAACCAAACCCTCTCCACGATTTCTTTAGGAAAACTTGAAAGGAAAGCCCACACTCGATCTGCAGAGCGGTGCTGGCCCACACAGATGTGGCTGCGGGGTTCTTCGTCATGTGCAGTCTGCCCAGTTCTCAGTCTGGGCACCTGTGCAGGTGAAGGTACTGGGGCAGCTGTTTGCCCTCTCTGCATTCTGCCAGGGGTGGCTGGGTTTGGTCACATCAGTGCTCAGTGGTTTTGTGTCTGAGCTGTCCCTGGGCGGGGTGAGCGGGGCACGGCAGGCAAGGCAGGATCGCACTTACACCCAGTCCCCACTGGGGCACTGCTGCTGGTTTATTTTATCATCTTTGCTGTGTTGCAGTTGTTAGTGTCTACCTGTAACACTTCATAACTAAATATCACAAGCCAAATAATGCAGGGCCAAACAGAGTAGAAATGATGACTAGCACATTTCAAACATCTCTCCAGAACCACTCCAATATATTTCCTGTGGAGGAGTTTGGACATGTCAGCTTTTCTGTGAATGGACAAAGAAAATGTCACACTGAGGGGGAAGCAGAAGGGATGGCTTTATTTTATTCCCATTCTCTTTAAGCCTGATTCAAATGTGTTTAAAGGAAAATGGAATGCTGAAATGAATTCCTGAAAGAGAGATGAATGAATGGTACATGTAACGAAACCACTGAAACATGCAAAACATGCTCACTGATACTACACTCACTCTGTCTAGACATAACATGTGTTCTTTGTTTATAAACAAGACAATATTTACACATTAAAATTCAATTGGTTTATGTAACTAGTCACTCCGAGCAATAAATAAACCCATAGTTTCCTGTTAATCCTTATTGCTGAATCCAAATAAAGTGATTTATAGTGTACTGCATGCCACAGTCACAATATGCCGCGTACTTTAATGCTGATATTTTATACATCTTTCTGTGTGAGCCTTCCCTTCAGACTTTTCAAGAACATTTATTTCTTCATCTGCATAAGAAGAACCAGTCTCAAAGCAGCATCTACCCTGGCTGCCCGAACTTTCACACAGAAACAGACAGAACTGCAACACAAAAAGCTGCTGCAATGCAAAGAAGAAGCTGGGTGAGAAGGGAGGAAGATAGGAGAGCTTGGAGGAGGGTCAGAGGGCAGCTGGAAGTGCCTGTTGACTGGGCAGAAATGCCCTTTGCAACACTAAAAATCAGAAATGTTCTTCTATCAGCCTAAAACTCAATGATCAACACTAAAATTTGGATGTTACTTGGGACTGACATTTCTGAGCATCTATTTAAACACCAGCAAAATTAAATTTAAATTAACAGCAAAACTGTTGTTCACTTATTAGCTGAGATTTCACACAACATCACATTTCAGATGCTATTTCACACTCAGAGGACTCCAAAGAAGGACATCCCTCTCAGTTGTTTTGATTGACACCTGCCTTGTCGTGAGTGAGACGGTTCATATCAGACTCCCATCCCTCTCCTCCTGCTTCTGTGACTCGCCTGCAATTCCAGCCCTCCTCCAGACCGGTGATGAGCACAGACCATAAGCAAATCCAGCCGGGGCACTTGATAATTCGCTCAGCTGATCAGGTTACACATTTTGCCTACTCTTCTTCTTGAACTGCCAGCTTGAAATACCAGCCTAAAACGCTCTTGAGATTTTTTTTTTGATGAAAACCTGGGTCAATATGTGACATTCATCACATCACTGCAATTTTTACAAACTAATCAATGGGGGGTGGAGTCTGTAATTTTATTTAACAGTTGCAGACAATGTGTTTGTTCGAAAAGAGGTGGCAGATCTACCTGCAATCAGCTGCTCCTACTGCAGAGGGAAGGGCTACCTCTGCACCCGAGGACCATCACAGTGCCAACAGCTCCTGCATCCTTGGCACATCAGCCTCTCCTCCCAGTTCTGTGCCACCTGCAAACCTGCTCAGGGTATGCGCTGCCTTTCACACCAGTGCAAAACTGCCCCATCCATGGGGGGTGTGGGAAAGCTGCCCTGTCCCTGGGGAGTGTGGGAAAGCTGCCCCGTCCCTGGGGGGTGTGGGAAAGCTGCCCCATCCCTGGGGAGTGTGGGAAAGCTGCCCCGTCCCTGGGGGGTGTGGGAAAGCTGCTCTGTCCCTGGGGGGTGTGGGAAAGCTGCCCCGTCCCTGGGAGGTGTGGGAAAGCTGCCCCGTCCCTGGGGGGTGTGGGAAAGCTGCCCCGTCCCTGGGAGGTGTGGGAAAGCTGCCCTGTCCCTGGGAGGTGTGGGAAAGCTGCCCTGTCCCTGGGAGGTGTGGGAAAGCTGCCCCATCCCTGGGGAGTGTGGGAAAGCTGCCCTGTCCCTGGGAGGTGTGGGAAAGCTGCTCTGTCCCTGGGAGGTGTGGGAAAGCTGCCCCGTCCCTGGGGGGTGTGGGAAAGCTGCTCTGTCCCTGGGAGGTGTGGGAAAGCTGCCCTGTCCCTGGGAGGTGTGGGAAAGCTGCTCTGTCCCGGGGGGGTGAGGTCAGAGCTGCCCTGTTCACCAGCAAGAGGAAGTTCAGGTCCTTGCATTCCATATGGTGCTTTTGCTTTACCTGTTAAACTGACTTTATCTCAACCCACCAGTTTTCTCACTTTTACCCTCCCCATCCTGCTCCGGGGCCTGAGCAGGTAAAACCAGAACAGCTGCAGCAATCTTGAAGACAAATTGTGTCATTTTCTGGGCAAAAATGGGATAGGGTCTACCAAGGAAAGGTGTTTACCAAGGAAAGGAAGGGACAGAACTAGCTGAAGGAGTTCTTTCTTTTGCTGAAATAACTGATGTGATTTTCTCTGTAAAAATCATTGATGGCTTCAGCAATGGTAAGAAAATAATTTTCTTTTCTTTCTTAGAATTCTTTTTATGCTAAGTTCTTTAACAATGTTGTTTAGGAAACATTAAATTTTATTTTCTTTTGTAACTTCCAATGCCCTTAATTAAAACAATTTCATAAGTTCTTTTCACTGAGAATTTTTTTCCAGAGGGAACATAAGCAAATGTAACGAGACAAGAATATCTGTGTCTCTTTATGTTTGTAATAATGTGGGCTTCTATAAGGAAAGAAAAACAACATAATTTCACACTCAGTGTGACACTGCTCCTGCTCCTTGAATGGCTGACTTATGATAGAATTGAACACTGGAGTATGTGTTACAAATTTTGAAATCAAATATTTTGCTTGAAATTTGTTTCCAAAAGAGAATTGGGAATTTAAGTTTTATTTTATGTTCACAAATATTCACTCTAGTCCACCAAAGCAAAATCAAAGGTAGGCAAAATAGCTGGAATCAATCTTTCATTCAGTTCTAAATGTGTGTTCTTTTTTTGTTTTTTCCCCTCTATACTTTGTTAGAGCTTCTAAATAAGACTGGAGGCAAAAATTACTAATTTATTTCCCATGATCATGAAACATAGACCGAAAAATGTCTTAAAAGCTTCATATACCTCATTCTTCATGTTAAAGTTCTACTTGGAATGGTTGATGGAGGCCTGACTAGTGATGGAAGGATGTTCAGTGACAATGAAAAACTCACTGCATGACACGCAGGAGGCGAGGGGCTCTCTGAGCCCCAGCAGCTCCTGGCCCCCCGAGCTCAGACACGGGTGCTGGACTGGCCAAGTGCTGTGCCAGCAGCCCCTGGTGTCAGCCTGGGCAGGTGGGAATCCTCAGAACTTTGTGCACGAGGAGGGAAGGGAACCATGTCAGCACCACGGGAGGACTGCGTTTCCTCGAGGTTGTCTGGAAGGCCACACTAACACATCTCTAGAGTAACTCAGGATCTAAAGGAGGTCACAGCCAGTTGCTGCCTGCGTGGGCAAGACTTTGGTGCTGCAGAATGGCTGAGCCTTGGGAGAAAAATGCAGGAATTCAACAGACGATGTATCACTGTGTGTCCCACATGGCCATTTATCTTCAGTTAAGACATGAATAATGCAGTGAAAGGTTTTTTTGCTGACCAGGCAATTTCTTCAACTCCCCCTTCTGAAGTCTGTTTCTGGGCTCTGGGTAAGAAGGAAAGTATTTGTGGGCTGGCAAGATTCAGGAGTTAGTTCTGTTTGCACAGAGTGTAACATGTTGAAAGCACCTCACAGATGAAGTGAGGTGAAGCCAAACTAAGGAAATAGAAATGGAGATGATTTAAAGCCTTTTAACGACAGGCTACTATGAAATGAAAGTGGGTTTCACCAATTTGTCTCATTTAAGTAGCAGTGCAACCAGCCAAATCCAGGTCACTGACCCCACTGCCCTTTAACCAACGTTGTTGGTTCTCTGCCAACAACACCACACTTGCTTTTACAGTTCCTTGGCTTACAGAATTTGAAAAGGCATGTTTGGGAATTAGTGAAAAGCTGTTAAAAAAACAACACTCAAGGAGTAATGGATAAAAACCCAAATGTAAAAAGATTGGCACAAAAGAGAGTGAAAAAAATCAATTTTGAAGGTCTTTACTTAATATTTTTTACATTCTTTTTTACCTTCTTCTCAGTAGTTCAAAGTTGTTAAGAATGGATATATTTCAAACATTCTGTAACACCACAACTCACCTCACTGCTGCCAGCCCTGTACGTTGTTAAAGGAAAACAAGCTTTCTAATTCTAACCAGACAACTGTAAAAATTCATAATAAAGAACACACTGGGAATGTTAGATATTGAAATGGCGTTCATGTTTTTGTTACAATTTCCATTGGATCTACCACAATTGGATATTTTTTATTCTATGACTGCGGGTTTCAAAAAGGTGGCCACTGCATGTGTGTGTGTTTATAAGCGTGTGCCTCGGGGGGGGGTGTGTGTACACATACAAGGAATCATAAGGGAGTGAATTAAAGAAATGGAAAATTCCCCTCTCTCAATCCTCCAGATCCATAGATAAATCTTTCCAGAAGACAGCCATGCTGACAACTGAAATCTTACCAATAATTTCTCTGGAGCACTATTTGACTGGAGTCATAAAGGCTAGACCTTTATGTTAGCAATTAATAAAAGGGTCCCCTGCATTAATGCATCAGAGAGAAGCTTTCCCTTGTCCCCAGACGTGCCTGGAGAGGAGCTCAGCATGGCTCAGGGCAGGTGAGCAGCCAGACGCCAAGGAGGTGAAGCTGGTCACCACATCTCTCAGTACTCTGCCCACGGGTACATGGTGCCAGCCAGGACAGCTCCATGAGGGCAGAGAGAGCTCTCAGGTGGCTCCAAAGGCTGGCTCTCCCCTGGACTCACTGCAGCAGGGAGCTCAGCTGAGCTGCCCACAGCGCTGGGTCTGTGTGTGCCATGGCTGCGGCTCCTGCAGGGATGTGTCCCGAGGCTCCTCCTGGATGTGTCCCAGCAGCAATAGCCTGAGTTTGCCACGAGGTCTCAGCCTTGAATTTGGGTTTACTTTAGGGCAATAATTTGCAGAGCAATAAAAAACAAGTCTGAGTCTACCTTAAAACTACACACTTTTATGTGTAATCATTTTGACCTGTGCCACTGATAAAAAAAGATTTGTCTGAAAATCCTGAAGGCACTAAAGCTGTTGTGAGGAGATGATGAGCACACTGGTCAGTGGGATGAATGAACCTAGTCAGGCTATGAATAGCATCAGAAGGATATTATTAAATCAATGTTTGGGAATGCACAGGAGAAAGCAGGCTTCTGCTTAGCTTTCTATTATTCTTCCTGTTTCTGATTTCCCTGCCAAGAGAGCCAGAGGCAGATCTTTGCAAAGGATTTCCTGCAATTTTCTCTTAAAAAAACAACTGTGTTTTACACACTTGGAATGCCATATGTGGCAGATAGTTTGGGGGTGCATACATGCATTGTAACCAAGAAAACACAAAAAACCCCCACAAAACCCACCCAACCTATTTTTATCTGGTTTCTTCCCATGCCCTTGGACTCTGAGAAATGTAGTCTGCTCTGTCCTTGGCATAGTAACTTTCTGGAGGAGGTGCTTAGGGGTTGTCTGTCTGTAACTATTTCAGCAACTTCTCTTGCTTTTACTTTCTTTTTATATGATGCTTTCCAGAGGTCACATTTTTATTTTCTTCTCAGAAATCCACTTCTCCCGCAACAGAAAACCTTTCCCTAAACCAAATATTTGTTTCTCTTGGATGTTTTATTATCCGTTCTCAGCCATTTGTTCTCTTTATACAAATGGAGGCAACAAATGACATGAAAACTGTAGAGCTGGTGAATACCAGCTACCACAGCGCAGATTAAGAGTATCACAACAACTGATTTTTTACAATGACTGCTGAGATAATAAAGAGTAAATTTATACCAACTAGTGAGAAAAGTGCTCTGTATCTTCTCTTTTCTGATCTTACCATGGTCAGAGGAACAGCCAGAGACAGTGCCTGTCCTCCTGTCACTATAGAAAAGCCTCAAGTGTTCTGGTTTCTTCTGGAGCCAGGCTCTGCTCTGTGGTGCCGAGCAATAGGAAAAGAGGTAACAGGCAGGAACTGATGTCCAGAAGTTCCATCTGGACATGAGGAAGAACTTCTTTGCTGTGCAGTGACAGAGCACAGAACAGATTGTCCAAAGAGGGAGTGGAGTCTCCTCACTGGGGATATTCCAGAACTGCCTGGACACAATCCTGTGCCATGTACTCTGGGATGGCCCTGCTGGAGCAGGGAGGGACCAGAGGACCCATGTGGTCCCTTCCAACCTGAACTATTCTGTGATTCTGTGAAGCTGCATCTGGGGGGATTCAAACACAAAGTTCCCTGCTCAGGCACTGACCACTGTCTCACAACCTCCACACACCACACTCCTCGTGTCCCTGTGGCTGTTGTCCTTGCTGTGCCACAGAGACCTCGAGGAGATAGACCCAGCACCCTCTGGGAATAAGCACCAGTGTCTTCAGCCCCCTTGTTTCCTGGATAACCGGCTCATCTCTTCTTTTCTCCTTATCTTCCTTTCTTCTAATGGGGCTGGGGTTGATTTGCCGTGGTTTGTTAACTCATGAGAACAATAGGTATTGTAACTGTCTTGGCTATGAATGGGTCACAGACATCACCCCTCTATGAGGCTGGAAAGCCAAAGTCTGCAGGGCTGGCAGAGGGGCTGATGGCAGCTCTGCAATGTAAACACATCTCTGATACAAAGATGCTTTGCTGTAATGCAAAACAGACTGCGAGGGGATAGGTCCTGGGTTTGAAATCAAGTTGTGTTCTCTATTCTTTCCAACAGTATATTTGACAGCATCAAAATTATTACAAGTAAAGCAGAATTTGAGTGGCTGAGGAAGTGATATATCACTTTTTGCAGATCTTTTCAGACCAGGGAACAGTGGATGAAACCCACTTCAAACTGATGTCTTAGAGCTGAGCAGAGTGAAAGCCCCTGTATCTCCAGCACAATGTGGATGCAGAACAAAAGCTAAGTCTCCGACTGTTTACTGCTTCTGAGAATACCTTTCAAGTGAAAACAATTGTTCAAACAAACCTTGAGAAGAAACAAAGTGAACAGCCACATGAATAATGAATGACACCACACAGAGTGTTACTGGTGGTCTGGATGGAGCCATTTGTTCTCGGAGCCCAAGTATTTGTGCTTCCAGTGTGGCTTGCTCTATATTCCTTCAACTAGAGCTGATATTAAACTTGTTCACGCATGTGAGTGTGTGTCAGTACATTTTCCTCACAGCTTTTTTTAACTGTTCTGTTTATACAACTGCTTTCATGCTAGGATACAAACAGGAGTGTTCCTCAGTCATACTCATGTGACCAGGGAGCACTAAATGCGACAGTGATGTGAAGAGTAAAAAGATTTTTTCCCCTCTGTTGAACAGAAAAATATTTGTGTCTTCCTACTAGACAATTATTAGCTTTTCAGTCTTGCAAAGATTCCTCTTTTCTTCCTTACTTTGTTGTCAAAGTTTCCAAAGAGCCTGGTCTGAGTGAGTGATGCTCTTTCCAAGTACGACAGGAGCACTGATTTGTGATTCATTATCCTGTCCTCAGGGGCTCAGGAGACAGCAACACACATTCCTGTGTTACCAGAGATCACACACTAATTAACAGCATTATACATTTATGAACCAATTATCATATTTACACAGGACAAGTGCATCCTATTTTAATTATAATTTAAAGTCTCACTTGAATAAGCTGTGATTGAAGAAAAGCCCAGTGCACCCTATTAGCATTCTGCAAGTGGAATTCAAGACACTCGGCCAAGTGTGCTTTGTATTTTCCCTCCCTTGCAGCATTAGCAGGATTGTGTCCTCACCTCTAGCAAAGGGCTGACTGCCCCTGACTTAGTAAGTGCTTCTCACTTCCCCCAGGACATCCTCCCCAGCCTCTCCCTGCATGGCTGGGAACAGCCAGTAGAGCTGACAGTGCCCCCAAAGGCCTGGCACATGGAAAATAAACACGGGCACCAGGCACCATAACACTGACAGTTTCCAAATACCGACTGTTTGTTGGCAGGGCAGTCTCTCTCTCTGTCCTCTCTCTCTGTTACCTAACAGCCATACAGGGATAGGAGGAAAACATCTAAGGGGAGAGGTGGACAAGGTGAGAATGGAGGAATGAAGTTGAGCCTGGGTAGAAAGGTGAGTAGGGGAAGGGTTTTGATTAATTTGTCTTTGTGAAAATTCTGGGTTAATTCTGGTGATCAGATATGTGGCACAGGACATTTGGGTTTTTTTAATTGTGGGTATTGTACTTGCAGGTTTTTGGAACAAAACAATATCTTCTGTGCTCTGCTGCCTTGCCCCCAGCAGAAGGGCAGATTTTTGTAGGGAGAAAGGGCTTGGAGATAACATTGTGCGAAAGCAGAGGTGAGTCTTTGCTTTAATGTCTTTTGTGAGAAGGAAACTCAGCTGCCTCTCGGAGCAGGTAGCAGCCCAGGTGCTGAATTCCCCTGCTGTGAGAGCACACACAGACTGGTATCTCCCACCCCTCGCAGGCGGGAGGGTCCTGGGGGGTGATCCCTGTCTCCATGTCTCACACATCTCCACATTCTTTCTGAGCTGCACCAAAACACATTTCCTAAAGTTTTCAGGTTCTGTTCCAGCTCTTTTTATCAACAAACCAATTCAAAATATTTTCTCTTCTGACAGTGGTGTTCTACCTGTGTAACTTCCACAGCCACCTTCACTACCCTTCTAAAAGGAGTACAGATGAAAAAATGTTTTAAAGTCTTTTAAAACAGCCAGAAATTAATCATTTGAACTGATAGTATCATGGGAAAGCCTGGAACACACATCTGTCTGGAAAATTCATGGGTACCTGAGAACAAGAAATCATAATATTTGGGCTCTGGAATTTTTAATATTTGCTTCTTCTGCTACTCCTTCTGCTGAAATATATTCTGTTACAGTTTTGTCAATTCCTGGATAAGGAATGGAGCAATACTTTAATCTTCTCTGGGGCAGACTGCATATTTTAAAAGCTCTATAAACACGAGTTTTCCAAAGAACAATCGTTGTTCCTGTAGGCATTAATGTTACAAACCAAGTAATAAGGCTTCAAGCACTAATCAAAAAATCAGAATTGCAAGTTGGTAACAAACAACCTAAAGCCTAAATAGCTCTTAGCACTAAAAATAAATTCAGCCTTGTCTGGGATCTCCACAGAGCTTTGTACCTCCCAGACCATAAATATTTTTCCATTTCAGCTTTCAAATTAGTTACTGATTAGCTACCTCAACATCTGTAGGAGAACCTTCCCTGGAAGAGGAAGCAAACTGGTTTGCCGAGGTTCTGTTTGATGAAGTTGAGAGGTACCTGCAGAGCAGATCTGCTTCCAAAAGCCAGCCCTGTCCATTTTCCTAGTTTATTACTGAAGTGTTTTCAGTCGAACCCAGCAAATCTGTTCCACAGGCAGAGCTAAATCCGCTCCTCTGTGCCAGGCAGCAGCCGCTGGCTCCGGGCGCGCGGGCAAAGTGCCCAGACCCTGCCCAGCCCAGCACAGCCCGGGAGCTCTGAGCCCAACACCCCTCGCAGAGGGCAGGGCTGGGACTGAGCCGGGCTCTGGGGCTGCTGCAGATCCCTCTGGCTGTTGAAATGGTGTTTGCCACCTCAACCAGCACCGAGACCTTGCCCCTTGCACAGACCTGAGAATGATGTATCAGCTGTCCTACAACACCTCTCATTAAGCTGTTTCTTTTGGCAAAAGGAGGCCTTTGAAGGGATGGCAGGGTTCAGGGACTAACTTTTCTAACGGGGAGCTTTGGTTCAGAGCCCTGAGAAAGGTTACTGAGTAGGAAGTTTTTGAGAGAGTGAAATGGAAACAAAATCTTCAGACTGCCCTGTCTTAGGGGGAAAATTCTGCACAGCTGAGTCCTGCTGATACCACGACTCCGAGGGCACCGAGGTCCTGGCCTCTCTCTTTGTCCTCAGGCAGAGCTGTGGGCTGAGCTGTAGCCCTGATCATCTGTACTTAAAAAGCACTTTTGTTGGAATTTCCCAAAGCATAAAATTTCTGCTCGTAGCTGTATTTTAATTTGTTGTGGGATATCAGCTGTTCTCTTGTCAGAGTTTTTTGATCCATAGCAAAGTCCCAAAAGCTGTGTTTTGTGCTGATGGTTTTTCAGATGGAATGGGATAATCCAGATTCTTCCTCTTGGCACCTCTTCCCTGAATTCCACCCCATTGCCCTAATCATCATCCCATGACACAGTGATGACTAAAAACACTAGAAATTTTTATTAAAATAGTTTCTGCTGGTACCATTTGAACTGCATTTTAACGCTTTCTCAGACTACTCCAAATGAGCTGCATGAACATCACATCACAAGCTGCACAGTGCTGTTCTCAACTTGGGGCAAGAGCAGGCTGATGCCACTGTGATGTTTACTGACAAGCCAAAATGCATTCTGGAGAAAAACACCATTATTTCCTTCACAAATGAAAGCAGACATCCCTAAAGCTCTAGACACTCTCCAAAATGCCTGTTTAAAGTAAACGATAACAGGATTGCTTTCCACTAGCTTTGGGCAGTAGGATGTTCAAAGACGTGATCTAAAAACCTGACTGCTTTGTCTGGGACCTGGGGACAGGGCTCACTGAAGGCATGTATTAATGCCCAGCTCCCTACTGCTGTCCCAGACACTCACATGTGCCCACAGGGATGAGGTCGGAGCCTTCTGAGCATCTTGTCTGAGTGTGCTGCTACCAGGAAGACCTGAAGGGTGCCTGGCGAGCCATGTCCTTCCCAGGACCTGCTCTCAAGAACCAGATCTCTCTTCTGAAATGCCCCAGATGACTGACACCTCATCCTGCTGGGAGCCAGCTCGAGACTGTGGGGTGGTCAGGGTGAGGCTTGGTCCCACCTGCCTGGCCCCAGTGCAGTGAGGTCTGGCTCTGGACATATCCCTGGTTTCATCTGAGGCTCTGCTGGACACGTGACATCCCACACACCTGCACCTCACCCTGTACCTTCTGGTTCAGCACTGCTGGCTCCGTCCAGGAGGGACTTTGGACTTTGTGAGGATGCAGGTGAGGTCACTGTTACAGAACTTTCTCTGTATTCCCCAGGTACCCTGCAGCAGAGTCTCAAGCTTTAAGCCCAATTCAAGTGCTACAGTGGTAGGAACAGCTGGAGATGGGTGCCTCCGAGGAGGGACCCCAAACAAAGGAATCCCTGGCCTGTTATACCCTGACAGTCCCTGCACCCCACCCTCACCTGCTTCTCACACCCTGCACACAGCTCTTGGTTCAATGGTGATTTTTGGTCTGGGGTCTTCTCACACCTTAGTAGATTCTTTCTCTCTCTCCCAGTGGGCCAGTAGCTGTTTTGATCTGGTTGTGACTTCATAACTTCCAGTTTACATAACTAAGAGCTCAAGACAAATTAAGTTCAGCCAAAGGTAAGGGTTAAGATAAATTCAGCCTAAGGCTTCAGCAACTTTAGCTTCTCATGTTAAGTAAAACTACTCAGACAGAAAAATACAATTAACAGAATTCAGCTGGCTTGAATTAACCTACAGCAGTCCCTCAGAAGCCCATTGGACACGTTCACACACTGGAGGGCACCTTGAACCCCCTGTCCCGCACGGATCAGCACACAGCAAGAAGAGCAGCTCTCCAGAGCAACACTGCAGGAGGAAGGACAAGACCACTGGCAAGCGAGTAATTAACATTTACTGGTTTCTAGTTCAGGTTAGTTTGAGAGGAGATCATCTGGCTTCTGGTTCACTCCTGCTGGGACCAATATGGTGAAACTGAAACAAAGTAGAAAATACGCACATCTTAAGTGGAAAGGAATTCATTCCTGAGACCGATAAAACAGAATCATAATAAACATTTAGGGAAAACATTAAAATCCATTGAATTTCCCTTCTCTGTATGAAAGACAAGGAATTTAAAACACCAGTTTGAATTCATTTTGAGTCAATTCATTCAGAAAATGTACTTTGGCTTTCCTCATGTGGAGGCAGTTAATGAATCTAACCCCAGAGCTATATATTATCAGTTCCCTAGTTATCACAATAACCTCAGACCAGTAACCCTCATTACCTGTACTGCTCGCCTCATCTTGTTCAATTAGGCACAGATAAATAAATGGAAAAGAACTGAAATTATTTATTTGGTAGGACAGTGTTTCTCTCCCTTATCCAGGTAGGGTTCTCCAAAATTATTTCCAAGAAATCTATCAGAGTGGTTGTTTGGTGTCTTTTGGTGGGAAATCCACACTCAGACACCCACAACCATGCACGAACACCCCACATTCACTGCCCTCAGCACAGACGCTTAAAGCAGTGGGTCCATGAAGTGACTCCTGCTTTCAGAAGCACCCACGTCCCCGGCATAGAGAGGGATGATATGAAGGCTCCTCCATGGACACATGTGACATCTGCAGAGGGCAACCCCAGGGACAGAGCTCTGAGAAAAGGGAGGCAGAGCACTTCACAAAAATTATTCCCTCATCAACAGATATTTCAAACCCATGAAATAGAAAGACATTCCTCACAAATGGCTAGATAAAGAAATGGGAAATGTGGTGCCTTTGAACAGAAATGCATTCACATGGATAATCAGATTGCAGAGATATCAGGCTAGGCACTTACTTTATGGTATCTTTATTTCTTTTCTGGCACAGATATAAAGATTTTCACAGCTCTTTTCAACAGAGGAAATGTGAGCTGCCTGCTCTCACTAATCCAATTGCTTGCTCGTATAATCACATTGTAAAGAGGCCAGTAATGCTGTAAAAGCAGGGGAGAGAGAGGAAAAAAATCCAGACCAGCTTCTCCCTCTGTCTCACTGCTCAAAGTGTAAATGTCACTCTTTTTATGTGTGCAAATAAATGAAGGAATGAATCTTGCACATCCTTTAGACCATGAATTCATTATGCATCACTGAGGGCACACGTTTCTCACTAGAAGTGTGTTATGTCAGAGCAGGTACTGAAGGGGTTTCCATGTGATGTCACAGCCTGGTGCCCACTGAGTATTACATTGCACATCTTTGGGAAGAAACAGGAGATTCCAATGCCATAGGAAGAGTCCCTTCTTGTCTTCGGGGTAGCACAGTCAGAAGCAACACCAGGATGTGGAGCAGAGCTGCCCTGCTCTGGCTTGCACCCTGCTGCAGGATCCCAGTGTGGATGAGCTGTTGTGGACTAGAGAGTGCCCTAGAGCTGAGAGAAAGGCAGCTGACAGAGGGCAGGTTTGGGTTTGCCTTTCTGAAATCTCATTTCTGTATTTACTCGTTCTTTTATAAAACAGCCAGGAGGTTTAGGCATTACCACGAGGCAAAACACTGAATTTACACATAACAGGAATGGCCTGTGTAATTTTGCAAAGAAGAGGATAATATTTTAAAATGTTTTGATCTGTCCTTCAGCATTTTGATATCTCTTCTACAGAAGTCTACAGGGAAGTTCAAGGCAATATTATCACAAACTGTTTCTCCACAGGGGCCTATTACTTTATTCTTCCAGATTCCTTAGGAGTTTTTCAAGGCTGTCAGTCTCATCTTATATACTTCAGGCCTTTCCCTTCTCCTGTCTCTAAGACCACTGAACATGTTGTCTGAAACATCAGCCTTAACTCCTTCCCTACAACAGCACTGACCTACTGGCTTCATTCCCTTCACTTTGCTTCTCCCATGTTTTCTAGCAATCTCTTCCAAACTAATAGTGCACCTTCTGGTCCATTTTGCTCTTTCCTCTTTAGTCCCTGTACACTGCTAGCTCAGGAGTGCAGCTTCCAGCTCACCCTGGTCTCACCCTTGCTGTGTGAGCTCTGCTTGGACTTCCTTTAGTCCCAAACACAAACTGGGAGCTGTTCTCAGCCCACCCAGTCCTGCCTTCTCCTCCCCAGTGCTGACAGATGGAGGGCAGAGTGCGAGGAGAGGCAGAGTGACCACTTCCCTGTCCTTCACAGGGACTGGGGGCAGAAAGGCCCTTCCCACCAGGAAAAATGAACAATCTCACATAGGAACACTCTTACGGTGGTAAAAGATGGGGATGGGAGTTTCCTTCCTTCCCCATGGAAGCCTCTCTGGTCAGCCACCCTAATGGTTGAGGAAGTTGGAATTTAGATGATGGGGTTTTAATCGGGACTTTTAAGAATAGCAGATAAAAAAGAAATAACAAATCTTCGCTACTCTGAAGCACAATATTAACCACAAAAGACAAGACAAAGCAGGTGATTTCCATTTTGGTAGTGCTAAGTCTAACAAAGGCCAGAGCAAGTGTTCTTTTGTGATCCCATCCTTTTATGCCTCCCCAGTTCCCAGACAAGCCACTGCATATATTTTTACATTTCAATGACAGTGGGAGAGGTTTTATAGGGAAACACTTCAGAAAACAGACCTTCTCTCTGAGATTTCCTGTATTTCCTTTCCCTGCTACAGCCTGAGTAAACTGATACTCCCACCAACTGGCTGTCCCTTCTCCAGGGGTGGTGGTGATGACAGGTACCACACAGTGTGCCAATCATTCCATGATGTACTGTAATTAATTATTTCTAAAACTAATACACAATTGTGCCAAAGGAAATGAAGAAATGGTCTTCAGAATAGATTTTGAGACTCCTCTAGTTTACTCAATAGTCAAATTAAGATGTCGTTAGAGTTTATACCTAACAGGGAATTCTCAGTGTGCTTTCAAATTGTCATTATTTGTTGTGAACTGAAGCTTGAAAAAAATCCAAAAATTTCCTTCTTAATGGCTTTGGTCTTTTCCATTTGACAAATACTGATTTTTCCCTTCTTTCCTTTGGCGAAGAAAGCAAAGTCATGTTACTGGTACTAGAGAAATTCAGGCCAGAGGCTAGACCTCCTGGTCACTCTAAAATCCTCTGCAGCTCCCTGACCAGCAAAACAAAACCTTTCCCATGTGAGGAATTTGCCTCTAGGAGACTTCTGACCTTTTTCCTTTACTGTGATGGTTCTTTCTGCTTCGGGGCACAGACGGGCACCTCTGCAGCTCCTCAGCAGTGAAACCACTGTGGGCTCCGCTCCTGCCACAGCCCGAGGGGAGCATTCACCTGGACAGAATGTGCAGAAGGTCCTGCCTGGAGCACTCACTGCCCGAGGGGAGCATTCACCTGGACAGAATGTGCAGAAGGTCCTGCCTGGAGCACTCACTGCCCGGGGGGAGCATTCACCTGGACAGAATGTGCAGAAGGTCCTGCCTGGAGCACTCACTGCCCGGGAGGAGCATTCACCTGGACAGAATGTGCAGAAGGTCCTGCCTGGAGCACTCACTGCCCGGAGGGAGCATTCACCTGCACGGAATGCAGAAGGTCCTGCCTGGAGCACTCACTGCCCGAGGGGAGCATTCACCTGGACAGAATGTGCAGAAGGTCCTGCCTGGAGCACTCACTGCCCGGGGGGAGCATTCACCTGCACGGAATGCAGAAGGTCCTGCCTGCAGGGGCGAGGCTGGCAGTGCCTCTGCACATCCCACTGCCCATGCTGAGGGTGGCAGGAGGCACCATCCGAGCTCCAGGTGAGACCAGCCCTTGAGCACTGGTGCTGTTCCAGTGTCTGCCCTGTCCTGGAGCACCCCGGGATTTCCAGAGGAGCCCTGGCTGCCCAAGGTCGCTGAGTCTGCATCCCTCTCCCTCAGAACAGGGCCACAGCAGATGCCCTTAAGTCACTGCCAGTGCTGTGGGTGTCTCCAACACCAACTAGGTCCCAGCTCAAGCCTTGGGGCATAAAGATCTCCACCTGCTGCACTGGTTTTGCTTGGTTTTTAATCTTCATCAGAGTGTGTCTGGAGGTTCCTCTTATCCCCATGAACACCTGATCTCCTGTAGCTCATGCAAGTTTTGGCCTTATTGAGAACTCACAGCAATGTCTCACCAGCTAGTAGTGTGGAAAAGCACGTCCCTGGCTTTGTTTTCCTTGTTTTCCTCCCACCCTTGTTCAGTGACAGACCTTCTGTTTTCTGCTCCATGCTAAAAGGTGTGCGGGCACCTACAATTTGATTTCACAACACTGCTCGTTACTTCTTATCAAGTCTCCCACTTAATCACTTCCTCTAACAATAAATCCAAGCCATCTGGCCCTGCAGATCCTGTAGATTCTGTCCAAGCATTTAGTCATTTTCAGAGCTCATCCCCGAATCCAGCTATTCCGTCTATGTCCTTTCTGAGACACAGTGACCTGAACTGAACACATTATTTCAGGTGAGTGTGTAACACTGATTTATTTGACAGCTTTCCAATACTTCCAGTGTTATTTTATCCTGTTTCCTCTGCATTCTAATGATTCTTGCTCCTTAGAAAGCAGCTACATGTTGAGTCTTTGAGCTTTCCCAGTGATACAATGACCTTTTTTTCTGGGTTGTTGCAGTTAATTTAGAACCTAGCCAGCAGTATAAATTGTTCTCATTAATTCTTCTGTGCAAATTACTTTGCATATGTCAAAACTGAATTTTGCTTGTCATCTTGTTATCCATTCACTCCACCATATTTTTGTACCCTTTGAAGATCATCACAGGCACCTCTGGTCTTGATTACCTAAATAATTTTTGTACAATTTATATTTCTTGCCTCTCCACTATTAATTTTCTCTTGTAAAATGTGTGTATGTTTATGTGTATGTAAATTAAACCCGCATCCCCTTTAGGAATTTAGATCCATCGCTCCCCAGACCTTCTGCAGTGGCATCCATTCCCCTGTCCATTGCAAGATTAAGAGTGGTTTAGGGACCAGATCTGAACTGTAAGGGAGGATTTAAAATCCACTTTGCCTCATGTATTGAGAGGGATTCTGACTTTGCTTTTTGTGGCCATATTTTTCAAAGGTGGAGCAACTCCAAATTTAGCCAAGGAGCTCCTTGACTTATTTCTATCCATGCCCAGACCACTGTTTTCAGACAGGCATTATAACCTGCAGCTGGGCAGGGCTCAGGAATGCCCCAGCACCTTAGTGCCAGTCAGCAGCTGGGACCTGCCTGAGGCACAGCTCCAGACAGGGACCCGGTGCCTGGGCTGAGGGAGCTGAGCTCTGCCAGCCCCCGGGTGTGGGCAGTGACACCGTCCCAGCACAGGACGGTCACCAGGAGCTCAGAGCAGCACAGGGCTGGGCTCAGCACCCCCCTGTGTGCAGCTGTGCCAGAGCACCAACTGCTCCAGGACCCGTGTGCTGAGCAGGGCCGAGTGTGCCAGGGCAGGCACCACAGGGACTGTGCTCCCTGCTGTGGATCCACGGAGTATTGCTGGCAGCACTAAAAATAGGAATCAGTAATGGGCACAGGAGCAATTCACCCTCTCCCATTTGCACAGTTTAATTCCCACTGACTCGCAGGGGTTCAGAGATTCTGTTATGCTGCACAAAGCAGCAGAGCACACAGAAAATTTCACCCTTAAAGACAAGAACATCCATATACTGAGTGGTCTGAATCATGGGTCATCTACCCCCACCACCTGCGTCTCTTAGAACGCTTCCATCAACGCTGCCTCCGCACAATCCTAAACATCCACTGGTCAGACTATGTGACCAACACATCTGTTTTAGAGCAAGCATCTGTCACAAGTATTGAGGCCATGTTACTGAGAACACAGCTGCGATGGGCAGGGCACGTCTCCAGGATGAAGGACCAACCACCGCCTCCCTAAGATCCTGCTCTATGGTGAACTTGCCACTGGCTGCCGCAAGAGAGGAGCCCCGAAGAAAAGATACAAGGACTCCCTGAAACAACATCTCAGCCTTGGCCATATTGATCACCATAACTGCTCTACTCTGGCCTCCAATCGGGAGGCCTGGAGACACACCATCTATAACACAGCTGTCTCCTTTGAGAACACACGCAGGATCACCCTCGAGGAGAAAAGGCAACGCAGAAAGAACCGTGTATTGCAGAATACACCATCTAAGGAGTCTTTCTGCTGTGCCTTTTGCAATCGGATATGTCTGTCACGTATTGGCCTCATAAGCCACCAGCGTGCCTGCAGCAAATGTGGATAGAGCCTTCCCAAATCTTCGTTCGTGAAGCCCAGCCATGATGAGGACTGGGACAGCCCAACCACCACTTCATCTGCAAAACGCTCAGGTCATTCGTTATGCAAACTGATTTAACAGACAAGAAAACACAAGTTTTTACTCAAAAATTTCCTTTTACCTTTTTCTGTAGCTGATTCTTCTTTAGATGCTACTCAAATTACAAATTCTGCAGCTCAATTTGTGACTTACCTCTGGAGAGGTCTCCAGTTACCACAGTAATGACTGCTTTTAGTTGTGTAATTAACCCTTACCTTAGGTGAAACAGTCATCTAGTTTATTGAACTTCACACATGGCATAAATTCATGTAAATTAGGACACAACTTTTTTGCTGTCCACACACCGACAATTTCACAAGTCACCTTAACACATTTGCTGTGATGTTAAGATACACAGGCCATCCACACTTTGGTAAGAAACTAAACCAGCTTCCAGAGTGTGATGGCCAGCATCAGTTCCCCAATGGGTAGGACAGAGACTGGTAGATGGTGGAGGCAAGGGACCAGGTCCTGCTGCTGTAACCCACCCACCTCAATATCCCAGAGTACTGAATGAGGTTATCCCAAACTGTGTTATCTCCTGGAATTCATATTCCTCAGATACAAGTGCTGATGCAGTCGGCTGCCTGGTAGAGCTGAATGTTATTTATCTGCACTTGGTCTTTCCCAAGGCCATTGACAGAAAGATAGATAGAAAAACATTTATTCTCTCTGTGGCCTGTATCATTTTCGTGTAATGCCATCTGATCCCCCAGCTGTCTGTCACTGAGCACTGAGATTGATGGGAGCTGCTGAAAGAGGAGAATAAAGCTGACAAAAATAGCAAACTTTACAGTAATCTGTGTTTGCTTGTTCCCAAACCTCACTGACACTATTCCCTATTCCCTTTCACTCAGTAATGCTGTTCCCTGACACCTGGATTACCCTGCCTTGCCCATTCCATGCTATGCAGGCCTGGATCTTCCCAGCACCCATACACACAAATAAACATACCAACCATTGCAAAACACTGGGTTTCACTCAAAGGGCCGCTGCTCTTTAGTCAGTCCTGGTTTAGGTCAGAGGATGATGTGGCTTAAACTCATCAATAAAGCTCACGGAAGGGGACGGCTCAGCAGCACACGGGGGAATCCGCCTCCTCCAGGGCCTGCTGAGATGGTGGGGGGTTCCAAGAGAGCACACCAGGCGAGGCAGACTCCGCAGGCAAGCGTCTGTTGGATGTTGGAGAACAATGAGAAATATATCAAAAAAGGCTCTAAAAGACATCTATACACATCCAGGTTCATAAGATGCTGGCCAAAACACCAATATTCATACAAGAGTTCCATACCTCTGACTAACTGCTTTGCTAACTAATCTTTCTTTAGGGTAAAAAAGAAAAATCATCCTACATTTCCTGGCATCAAAGCAACTGATTAAAAATATTTTCCACATTATAGCTGACATTGATTAGCTTAGCTCTGATGAGATTTCACTGCCTGAAAAAGAAATCCCTCAAAAGGCTGGAGAAAGCCTCTTTATTAATGCTTTTCTGTGATTACATAATATATATCTGTAACCACTCTATATTACTTGAGAAGAAATTATGTTTAAATGACACTTGCTGAGATGGCAGTAAAACTGTCATGTAAAGTGCCAGTATAACTCCTCCAATAAGTCACATTTAGCTTTAAAAAACTGTCCAGCCTTATCTATATTTTATTAAAACAGGAAGACAGAGTGCCAGCTGCAAAGGCTGTAACCGTGTGAGAATCCTCTGGAGTAACAATCACACAGAGCTCCAAAGCACAGAATGGGAGCAGAGGGGGGAGTTGTTTCCCGCAGTGCACATCCTGTGGGTTTGATCCCAACACCAGCACTGGAGAGGCCCCAGGGCCAGGGATCCACCAGATATGCACCAGGACACAGGGGGGTCCGAGGGGCCAGGGACTCCCAGCACTGACACTGGGACACAGGAGGGTCCGAGGGGCCGGGGACTCCCAGCACTGGTACTGGGACACAGGGGATCTGAGGGGCCAGGGACCCCCAGCACTGACACTGGGACACAGGGGATCCGAGGGGCCAGGGACCCCCAGCACTGGCACTGGGACACAGGGGATCCAAGGGGCCAGGGACCCCCAGCACTGGTACTGGGACACAGGGGATCCAAGGGGCCAGGGACCCCCAGCACTGGTACTGGGACACAGGGGATCTGAGGGGCCGGGGACTCCCAGCACTGGTACTGGGACACAGGAGGGTCCGAGGGGCCAGGGACCCCCAGCACTGGCACTGGGACACAGGGGATCCGAGGGGCCAGGGACCCCCAGCACTGGTACTGGGACACAGGAGGGTCTGAGGGGCCGGGGACTCCCAGCACTGGCACTGGGACACAGGGGATCCGAGGGGCCGGGGACTCCCGGTACTGGTACTGGGACACAGGGGATCCGAGGGGCCCCCAGCACTGGTACTGGGACACAGGAGGGTCCGAGGGGCCGGGACTCCCGGTACTGGGACACAGGGGATCTGAGGGGCCGGGGACTCCCGGTACTGGTACTGGGACACAGGGGATCCGAGGGGCCGGGTAGTCCCGGTACTGGTACTGGGACACAGGGGATCTGAGGGGCCGGGGACTCCCGGTACTGGTACTGGGACACAGGGGATCTGAGGGGCCAGGGACCCCCAGCACTGGTACTGGGACACAGGGGATCCGAGGGGCCGGGGACTCCCGGTACTGGGACACAGGGGGGCCCGAGGGGCCAGGGACCCCCAGCACTGGTGCCAGTGGGGCTGTGCTGGGTTGTCCTCAGGGAGATGCTGCAGCTCAGGGATCAGCTGGAGAGAAATGGCACTGCTGTTCCCTGCAGTGTGACCAGTAACTCTTCCAGACATTCTGTAGTAATTTCAGTACCTCTCAAAGGACCTCTGAAAAAACCTGTGGAACCTTTCCAGGTAGTTCTTGCATTTCCCCACTAATAGCACTGAGTTTATTCTCCGCAGCCGAGGACAGCCAGACTTTTTTCTACTGCATCTCACAAGTTTACTTTTAATTTTTCATCTGTAGCTCTTTTTTCTTCTGACTGTATGCCAGTCTTCCTTAATACTAGAGATGGACGTGGGAAGCCATTAGAATGAATTTAAAATGCATCCTGGAGTTTCTCAGCCTGCATTTGTACAGTTTTATCTCTATATATGTCCTGTCTGTTTTTATTATATCATACAGTAAATTTTAATTATTTTCATCAAAAAGTTAGAAGTTTTCTGAGAAAAAAAACCACAAGGAACAGGTTATACCATTTTTACAGTGTATTTTCCTAATTTATTGCACAATTGGAAATCCTTAAAGTTGTTTGCCAGGCCCTCTGAATTCCCTTTCCACCATTAAATTTAACAGACTGCTGAATGATTTCCATATATCAATATTGTCTGTGACTATGGGGTAGAGAATGTTAAGGAATTAATAGCATATGAAATTTTGTCACTTGTGATGCTGTAAATGTTAAGCTATGCCACTGAAATTGCACTTTAAGCAGTATGAGATTAATGCCATTTGTCATAAATGTCCTGCTTTTTAAATGTTATGTAAAATGTGTTTCCAGGCATACAAAGAAAGAAGGCTGGGAATAAAAGCTGATTTACTAGGCTGCTGTTACTAGATTGCGCAGTGGGATTGTCTTTATCTTTCCTTTACAGTTAAAACACCTCTGACTGTACAAGATTTCTGCAGATGATTCCAAAAATAGGCACGCATATATTGTACACAGTGTATGTATTTTATATGTCTGTAAATAAAATATATAACATAATAGTACATCAATATGTAATATATACATATAATGTTCATTGTATGTACATGAAAATAGAATTTTCAGTATTCATTAACTATGTGCCAAGATGTCCCCAAAAGGTGGGTCATGTTGGGAGAATAAACATATTTCAAATACTAATAACTCGGAAGCAATTAAAAGTTAATTAGAGGAGAGGATCAAAACTACCCATTTTTAATAGTAAGTACAGTCATGCAAAGCTGTGAAAGGGATGCTGCACTGATACAATCACAGGCTGATTTTCAGAGCTTAAATATTCTAGCAGATAGTTTGGGTAAAGGCTTACTGTGCAAGGACACAGAAGCTTTTAAAAAAACATATTCCAATCATGTTTCCTAAACAAGGAAAGGGTAACACTTGCTTTAAGCAAAATTAGCAACCCAAATGATTTATCCAAAATGAACATCAGCATTTAGTACCAGTATACTCTGTGCAGTTTTGGGCACCACAGTATAAGAAAGATATAAAGCTATTAGAGAGCATCCAAAACAAGCACACAAGGATGTTAAAGGGCTGGAGGGGCCATATGAGGAGTGACTGAGGTCACTTGGTTTGTTCAACCTGGAGCAGAGGACACTGAGGTCAGACCTCACCAGGGTCTGCAGTTTCCCCGTGAGGAGCAGTGGAGGGGCAGCTCAATCTCTGCTCCCTGTGACAGGGACAGCACCCAGGGAATGGCTGGAGCTGTGCCAGGGCAGGTCAGGTTGGATCTCAGGACAAGGTTCTTCCCCCAGAGGGTGGTTGGCACTGCCCAGGCTCCCCAGGGCAGTGGGCACGGCCCCAAGGCTGCCAGAGCTCCAGGAGAGTTTGGACAGTGCTCTGAGGGACAGGGGGGGATTGTTGGGGTGTCTGGGCAGGGCCAGGAGTTGGACTTGGGTGATCCTTCTGCATCCTTCCCAACTCATGACATTCTGTGAATCTGTGTGATTCTATTATCTCATTAGCACTCAGTGTCACAGCTCCAGGCTGGAAGACACTAGTGTTTTTTTCCCCTGGAGGCTGAAAAGTACAATCAAATATTTGTGTATTGACCTAAAACAGAACCATACAATGATTTGTAACACCATAAGCTACAAATCAAATCAAGTGAATAATGCATCAATTTATGAATCTGATAATTTTAAATGAACTATTGCTCTGCTGTGTAGTCCCATGCTGCTACGGGAATTAGTTCTTCACCATATTTATCTTTTCATGTGAAATTATATTTTAAATTAATTGTACAGAAAGCCAAAGTTGGGAAACAAATTTTTTAAAACTGTGTCTGGTGACTTTACACCTCTCTCTATGTCTGGATGCACCCAGGGCTCCACAGGACCCTCCAAGCACCCACAACTTAAATCCATCTATCCTTCAACAGCTGGTGCTCGCTGAGTCCCCCCTCAGGCTGGGTGTGGAGACAAATCCCCAGCCTGTGCTGAGCACACTGTCCTTCCCTTGGGTCAGTTTTCTCGGGTTTGGTTTGCACCACCCAGGTCATGCCCTGTGAGCACCGAGCGTGGCTTCCCGGCTGCGACTGCCGTCACTGCCACACAGGGTGTGCACAGCAAAGTGCTCACTGCAAACAGGCTCCCAAAGAGTCTGCTGTGGCTTTTGATCCTAAAAGTGAAAGCAGAAGCCAGCTCCATTGCTTTCGCAGAAAGCTTCTTCCATCGGTGCATGAGACAAAAGAGGAAGTTTAAGCACTTCCAACTTCCACCTCTTCCCTAAAAGCAGCTCCTCAGCCAAGTAATTGTGTGAAAACAAAAACAAACAATTACACTCCCTCAAGAAGCCATTAAACATGGCTTGGTAAGTCAAGAATTTGCATATGGCTGATTGTTTAGTAAACAAACCGTCTCTGGAGAGGACTGAAATTAATCTTTTGCATCAAATCTGTTGATTAGTCTTTCTGGGAATAATGCTAGATTATACAAACAGGTGTGAGTCATGACATCACTTTCTTTGAAATTTAGGATTAAACATGGCAATAAACAAAATTTTAAATGCATTTTTAAGGTTTGAAAGCATAATATAGTTTAGTAGAAGATTAATTCTGCTTTTTACATCAAAACTGAAGTCTTAGGAAAAATTTTTTTAAAAATCTGAATTAAAGTCCAGAGTAGGGTCTGCCTACAGGCTGTTGCATTTGTCAATGAGTGTAACACTGGAAGTGTAAAAGGAGATGTATGTTTAGATGTGCATTACTGACTGTACCAGGACTGAGACTATCATAGTCCATCAAGAGCCTCGCCAAGGGAGGTCTTGCAAGCTGTTGTCAGCACTGTGGGAGAACTGGCTGCTTCTCCTCCACCTTCCCCACATAAAGAGGATTACATTGTGAAGTCGTGTGTGATAAGATTATGCTGATTCAAGATGCCTTTTCCAGTTCTTTGGGGGACCAGAGAATAGGAATGATGTGAGAAATTCTACCTGGATACAGCAGAAAAGGAAAATAATCTGCTGCACCTCTTCAAAATACGGGCAAGACACAGCATAGACAGTCTTTCTGTGTAGGAATTCAACAATGTGGACAGTCCTACATCTCTGTGAGAATTCTTTCAACAGAAGCAGCCAATGTTTTCTCCATGAAGGGGCAATTAAAACAAAGAAAACTAGCCATATTTCTATCAGCCAACTCCTCCCTTACCTGAGGTAAAGGTAGGTAAGTCCCGGTGGCTCGGCAAAGTCTAGCCTTGACTCTGCTACTGCTACACCATGAGGCATCTCAGATGAAAACTGAGAAATCTCCTCCCATTTTGGAAGGTGACAAGCTTCTTCCAGAGCACCTGACAAGTTCTGCTGCTCTGCACACTTCAGTCCAGCCCAGAGGCTTCACTCAGTGCAGCTCAAGTAGCTCTTTAAAGATCAACATTAAGATAAACATAAAAGGTGAGCAGTGATTAAACACTTGACAGTGGTGATATTTGTTATTTGCTGGTCTCAGATCACATGCTGGTGATCCCTTTGCACTTTCAGCAAGCCCCCACATGATGGGCAGCTGGAATTAGGGGCTTTTTCAGGGCAAGTACCTGTGTTCCAACTCTAGAGGCTGAGACCATAGTCTATTGAGCCCTGGGAACCCACTGCACTTTGCCATGTGCTGTAGCCTGGGAGGATCAAAGATGCCTGGGCACCAGCCTCTCATCAAATGACTCCCAGATGGATAAACCTGCTATGCTAAGTCCTCTGGTGGGCTGGGCCTTCTATATCCCCCAGGAGACATTGGCAGTACATTATCTGCCCAGAACATCACCTGCCTACAGAGCTGCTTAGGATGGTATGTGGAAGTTGAAATCAAGAGAGGTTTTTAGTTGACTTTGCTTAAAGAAAAAGACCCAGAAAACTGAGTCACATGGAATATCTTTTGCTGAAAGCAAAATTACATACAGTGGCTTTAAAAAAAGCCTCTGCATAAATATTCTTTTTCCAAATAAGTAATCTTCAGGGGTTATGAAAAAGGGTATATAGAAAACAGTTTTCTTGTTCTTAATACTTTGATTTTAGTTGACAAGATAATATTTCTGCATGTAGTTGGAGAACAAATTTGCCCAGTGTTTCTGTTGCCACTAGAGTATAAATGGACATTCTGGACCAGTGGAAGACGGGAGAAATTTTAGTACTGGTCTTTTCTGTACTCTGGAGTTTCCACCTGAATGAAGCTGTGGAGGCTCACAGGTCTTGTATGGCATGTCACTGTCTGACTGCTAGAGTACAACCATTAAAGGATGTCTCAAGGGTGCCAACATTGTCTTCCTAAATTGCAACCCTGTTGCATATTTAAACTTTGGTAGTTAGTATAAAGAATCAAAGTAATCTTAATTTGAAGTATTTTAAGTTACCTCACTAGATTCAATATTCATTTCTTCATCATCTCATCTCAATTACATTTCCATTTCAAATTATTTATCTCAGTTAATTATAATCAATTTTATATTTTGCTAACAACAAATATGATCTTGAAGAGCAGCTGGAGCACTTGAAGGTCATTGCAGGAGACAGGTGACCCTGTGACAAGACGATCACAGAGTGTGTGGTCTGCACGGGGGGTGTCACCCGTGGGGATGCTTAGCTGTCTGACAAAGTGGGTACTTTTATCATTGCACTTTCCTCATCTTCTGGGGTTTGAAACAACTGTCACAAAAGGAAAGGCTCTTTTCACTGGATCAGTTACTGAAGGAGGCTGTGCAGCAGTAACTGGAGACAGCACCTTCCTTAGCTCAGCAAGGCTCAGTGTGCCAGGGGCTCACCTGGCTGCACAGGCGGGGTTTGATTTTTAATTCCTTCGCTACCACAGAAAAGGGCCCCCTGAGTGCCAGCCAGAGCTGGTGCTGTGTAACTCGTGCCCGAGGCTGGGCCAGCATGAGAACACCCCTGCACAGGACAGCAGGAGTCTGCGGTGTGTGGCTGTGTTTGCTGCAGACCAGAGACCCTGAAGGAACAACCCACCGGGCGAATCGTGCCTCGGTAAGAGCTGCCTGGGAGGGGCAGGAGATTGTAAGAGAGAACAAAAGCCTGCTGGTGTGGGGACCAGCTCCTTCAGCAGAATCCCTGCCAACTGCAGCTGCTTTCTTGTGCCTCCTGCTGCCCCTCACCTTGAGGTTTCCACTGTGTCACTGACCATCACCTGGCCAAGAGCTGCTGTAGGTTTCATTTGCATGCTCAGAGCACCTTTAAAGAGACACTGGCATCTCTCCAAGCAGAGAAAATGGTTTGCTAATATACTGAATAATGTGTTACACTGCAACAAAATGTCAGAATGAACAATTGCTCAGAACAATCATTAAAAAGAAAAATTAAAGTACAGTCAGCCTTTGAATATAAAATCACAAATTAAACTCGCACTTTATGAAGACCTAGGCATAAATAGAATCCAAAATGGTCTAAATAATTATATACTTTAACAGAACCTAAGGTATTCATTGATGTTTCAACAAGTAAAATAGAAGTACAATGGATTGAGACCACATCTCCAGAAGCTGTGTTTTCAGTTGAAAATACTACCATGAGAATTCCCATCATAATTAGAAAAATTGCTATACTGAGAGTGTTTGCTTCCAGAATTGAAGTGTTAGCCTTTTTTGATGTGAAAATGACACTGTCAGAGAAAAAGAATCTCTGTTTCTAATGAGTCAATAGACTCATTCGCTTTCAGCTGGAGCAATTGTTACCACCCGCCCCAGGAAAAGGAGGGGGGGGGTAACTCAGGTTTTTATCAATAATTCCCTTGGGGTGGATTAAAGTGAAATGACACTAAATAATCAGTGTCTGAAAACAAAGTTTATTTTAACAATTTTGTATCAACAGGTATGCTAGCGTTTTGGGTGCTGTCATACAACAATGCAACATAGAGACAACTTGGCGGGGGGAGAAACTGCTTAGGGGAGAGAAAAAAAAAACAGGATGAGAGTAAGGGAAAAGAGAAGCTGAGAGTGCAACAGAAATGGATACAGTCACCGCCCACTGGATCCAGCGATGCTTGAGAGCGAGGGTCTTGATTCGCAGGCGGTGGGGGAGAAGGAGAACCCGAAATCCCAAAGTCACCAGTCAGTTTATATCCCCTCAGCATGCTTTTGCACCTCCCTGGGACGAGGAGTTGTTTGCCTTTTTAGGGCTTAGCACTGGAGGGAGGGATGGGCCCAACTGCCCATCTGAGGTATAATGCAAAAGTGAAAGCCTGCAAACTCCTGGAATGCATAAATCATTAACCATTTCAGTCTCTGACAGCAATCCAGCTAAGAAAGACAAATGAGGAGAATTTTTGTAAGGAAAGACGTATTCAAAGCACTGTTATTCAGAGTCCAAGTGTATTTCCGGCCTACTCATATTTACATTGTTACAGTTATCTTGACTATGAGAATTCCAGAGGGTATTATGAAAAGTAAGGATGTAGAAATCCACAATGAGTGAAAAATAAACTTAGGAAACACCGTAGGTCTTAGAGTTGAAAAACATGACTGAACTTAAACTCGAATCTTTGAATGAAATATGTAAAATATAACATGATACTTGAAAAATAATGAATGCCAAAGGATTTGAGTATTTGATCTATCCTCAAAGAGAGTTCTTTTCATTAACACCCCCATGCCAGGAGCTGCAGTATAGCACCAGAGAGACAAAAGAATTCATCAGTGCTGAAAAGCTTTTATTTTCACTGGGTAGTGTTCAAAACAGTGATCCCATCAACTTGTCTTGACAAAGCTGTTTCCTGTCTCAGCACCTGGGGACTGGCTTTAAACCACAACTGTGTGATTAACTCACCTGGTGTGTGAGAAATCTCTCAAAAGCAGCAGAAGCACCAAGCTGTGTCTTGCAACCTCCGCTGTGGCAGAAAATATGCAACAACAGCACAAAACATTACAAATTTTTTTGGGAAAGAGTTATGCGAAGGAATCTTTTAGAGTCTTTGAATATCAGTGTATGAGCTGAATCAAAGAACTGAAGAACTACATCCAGCATAAACTGTAGGAACAAGAGTGTATGAAATCAGTTCCTTTTCAACTCCTTGATAGTGCAAACAAATTAAAACCTGAAACCCTATCTCTTGAACTTTAATTTTCAAGACGAAAGGATAATCTCTTATCCATGGAGTACTTATTAGCCTCTGTCTTGCACAGTTTTCTCATCTTGACTTCATCACATGATGGATCATTCCAGAAATTTAAATCTGTCCTGAGCCAGTTTACCAGTTTTGATGTTTCTTAAGAGTCTTATAAAGACATAATTATTTGTGACTCTAGTTAAAGAGAATAAATATCCAACCCTTTCTGTTTTCTTTTAGCAAGAGATTCCTAACTTTCTTCTTGATGAGAGTGACAGTCACACTCTTAATGGGCCATCAATGTACAATGTGAGGGTTTGAGTGAGTGTCCATAAGCAGGGAACATTTGTCTAGGAGGTAAAGGTGACTGACAAGACCCACTGCTTGTGAGCACTCTTTTGCAGGCTCAGAGCTGGAGTGATGCCAGAAAAACACCTCATGAGGTAGTTTTGCCATGTCTCTGTACTCTGGCTCTTAGAGACAGGTTCCCTGCATGCACATCCTTTCTTCCAAATGTGATAAACAAAGTCTCGAGTTTCTATAAGTTTCGAATAACAGTTTATTAGCTGGTAAAAGCAAGCAGGCGGTTGGGTGACAGAAATGGGACCAGTTTCCCAAATCTGCACACCCCTACTACAGGGTACATTTAGTATTTATCTTAGCTACTTCATGCATATTAATTATATCATATACATATACATTCTACAGGTTTTTGCAAAGTATTTAATAGATGGGTTTTCTTACAGCTAAAGCTAAAAGGGTTATCTCTACAACCGGTCATAATTCATGCATTCTTGGACGAACAGGTGCCTAAAGATTTAAAGTTCTACTATATTTTATTCTTAGGATAGTAAGGAGGTTTTAGGCCTCTTGACCTTGTGAGGGTCTGTTTTATTTCTTTATGAGGGTGTAATTAAGTTTTACAATCTGTTTGTTTTATTTTGATGTAATCACCCATTTGTTTCACAAATCACAATTATTTATGTATCACACAAAGTAGCATTGCACCTCAGCAACAATCAGGAAACAAAATGTTTGGCACTAAGAAGCTTCTCTACATCAACTTACTCTATGTCCCTACAGATTCCTAGGCAGGACATAAATCTGCAAGGAAAAAATCCCACTAAATATCCTCCTATTCATTTGTTTTTTAAAGAAACTTGGAACAGCTTTGCTTTCTTGAAAATCCATCACTAGTAACTATAATGCAGTTAGCAGCTTTATATCATTAAACATAAAACAAAAATGGAATTAATGTCAGAGATAGTTTAATTCAGTCTTCCATGGCAATCTGTTATTCAAATTGATTAGGAGTAATATGAAGCAGGAAAATGTGAACTGTCATTAACATCTAGTAGGCTGGTTAATTGAAGCTTCCAAGCAGAGTTCTATATTCCAGCCATCCTGGTGTGACCGAAGGCCTGCAGCTCAAGGAGGGGGAGCTGACACAGTTCCTTCCTGGGCTGCCCAATACCACCTCTGCAGAAATGTTCTTTACAGCTGCTCTAGGCCGAGGAGTGAAGAGTTCAGGGAGAAATGTCCCAGCACTAAACCTCATGGAGGCATTTCCCTCAGCCTGCCTGCAGTGCGCCCTGGGGCTGCTGGCCTGCTGCTGTACCTTCTGGAAGGGTTTAGGTATCCAAGGACAGTCATATTGCAAGGGAAAAAAACCCAACCTGTGTGTTTTAAGACCCCAGGTTTTAGCAGCAACTGAGAAAGGGCTTCCAAGACTCTGATTTTGGCTGGAGATGTGTCAGTCCCACTTCAGACTTCCCTATCACCTTTCTGTATCAGCTCCTTATCCCTGGCTGTGCCTAGCAGGGCCACAGCAACAGCATCTTCACCAGATCCTGAGCTGTGGCCCTTTGGCTGCTGCTTCTCATGCTGGGACACCCTGTTGGACATAGCTGGCCAGGAGCCAGGTGAAACAGGGGAATCAGTGGAGCCTCTTGATGCCCAGGACATCAAGAGCACAAGAGGAAAGTGAATCTGTGAATGTTGTTCTGGCAGCATTACCCTAAAACAAGGAGCTAAGCCAGCCCCAATCCAAGGGGAAGTGAAGTACACACTCCACACTGATGGCTCCCAGCTCCTCCAACACTTGCTTGTGATTTCTGCTGAGCTTCACAGTGGAGGGAGGAACTGGACATCTTCTGTCTCTAACACCTGTATGGGCCAGACAGAGCCTGACCCAGCTGGCTCTTGCCGAAAGAGAAGCGTGGCAGTTTGACAATTAATTCAGCTGGAAGCCTTCTCTTATAAATGCAATTTAGGAGTAAGGGCAAAATGAAATACTGTAGAAATTAAACAAATCCATCCAAAACCCCAACACAAAATAGCAATGAAAATTTATAAAGGTGAGCAGCTCTATCTGTGAAATGTAGATCACTTCTTCAGTGGTCAAGCACATCAAAAGTGCTTGATAAATCCTCTGTATAAAGGACATTCCTACTGAGAAAGGTGAAACAGCAAACCAAATTAACTCCTATTACAAAAAAATCTTGTAATAAAGAAACATATCTTTTCTTTTTGGTTGCTTGTGGCTGGAAAATTATATAGCACAATTAAAGCCTTCATATGTGACAGTGATTCAGTGAAAGGCATAACTTGCCAACACTGATGATCAGTGCTAAATTCTTACAGCCATTTTAATTTCTGTCACATCCGTAGAAGAATGCACATGCAGTTGCTTTACCATAGTAATTACTTTAACCCATGATAAAGAGTTATGAGGTAACTATTGCTGAATGTGGTGTGCACTGGCAAAAAGGTCAGTTCAAAGCACTTCCATTGTTATTCCCTGGGCACCACCAAGCTTCAGAGACACCTGTTCTCACAGTGCCTGTTCCGTCCTTACTTGCACTCACACTTGTTTATATTTTCCTCCCCGGTGTTTTCCACAGTTGGGCTTTTGAGCTGTTTAAAGCTCTTTGAAGGTGTGAAATAAAGGCCCATCAAATTCTTACTGCTGGCTGTTGAATGCCACCCAAAATAGCAAATGGGTTTTGACAGGCTCCAAGCAGCAAGTCTTTTCATTACATGTGATTTCATTTTGGCAGCCCAAGTTTCTTTAGATAATATTCACATTTCAGTAAAGAAGCTGCAGAAATCCACCTGTGTCTGGAGAATCACAAATCTACACCCGGAAACACTCGTGTGGAAAATGAATGTGCGCTCTCAAAAACTCTGTAATGCCAACAGTCCAGGAAAAAGTGCCTTTGTCAGAAGACCAGTCCCACTTCAGAATCAGTTCCAACTCTCCTTATTTCCAAGACTGTCCATCCCTGTCAAACAGGCCATAAAGTAGGAATTTATAGGCATATAGGGATGTCCCCTGACAAGTCCACAGCAGTGGGGACACAAAGTGCCCTGAGTCATTGGGTTCCCGTTCCTGTCCCTCACAGGCTGGGGGACAGGCCTGGTAAGTGCCCAGGAAGCAGCTGAAGAAAATGTGGATAAGCAATTCCCCAATTATGAAAATTGTCAAGGTTTATTCCTCACGACTCCCAGAGCTGGCAAAGCAGTCAGCAGGAAGGTACTATGGGGGCACAGAGGGTGGGGGGTCCTGCCCTCAGTGTCCCCTGTGGCTGTCCACAACCAGACCCTGTTCTCCTGGGTCAGACACCAAACAGGCTTCCCTCTGGAGACTCCATTGCTCTCCCATGCAGCTGCTGGGAGTGGCTGGGAGGGCACAGCTCACTCTTCCAGAAGCTGTTGGTGTTTTGGGACAGTGGTGTTGGGGCCCCTCATCACATGCCATGGCTTCAGCAGCTACGTCCCACCCTGATGTGTGCTCTCACACATTTGTTTGAAGGAGATTATTGTTATTTGGGGGCAGGGAGATAGTATTTGTTTTTATAATTCTCCACAGTTGTTTTGATGCAGTTATTCAGTGTGACTACAAACTTCTATTCCCCAAAGTTACTGGGGAACTCATTAAATAAATAACTCCTATAAAAACACCCATTTGATGAATTCACACATTCACTTTTTTAGTTGGAAATCTGCAGTTTCTCTGGACAATACAATTCTCCATGTGAAGCA